CCTGGGACATCGTCGGGAGTGTGTTTTCGGGGTTGCCTAGACCTGAGGTGGTTCAACCAATTTCGCCGCAGATCTCCCCTTTCTGGGCTCAGAGTTGTCCTGTCAATGCTGTCGCCGATTACCCATTCGACAATTTGTGTCACTTGTCAGCTGAACACTCGGGGAGACTTGAACCCTCCTTGTTGCCAGTGGCAAATATGTAAATCGGGGCCACTTGCCGTCAAGGGTAGCTGGGCATTGCATGAGGCGAGTTGTCCGTCCTCTGCCGAGGGGATTTGGGGAGGGAGTGATTTCACACGCTAGTCACCCAAAGGAGTGGGCGGATTTTCCTTGCCTTAGATGCTGTGTGGCACTTAGTCGGAGGGGAAGCCCGACGTTGTCCCATCAGCCAGACTATTGCTGCTGCCCTTCGCCTTGCCTTTGCGCAACATAATGACATTACTTCGCCTTCAAGGCCGGCGGGTTCGGAAGTCATGTGGCGTCGCGTCGAGTTCGCAAGAGGGGTCGGTGATATGCCACCACCAAGTTTGGCCAGGATTTGTGGCCCTGAGAGGCCTGGCCAATTTAGGAGCTTCGATTGCTGGCCGATCTGACTCTTGGAGTCCAGTTTTGGTCCGATCCGCCGTGCGCCATTGAGAAGTGTATGAGGACTCGAAGGGTGAATCTCTCGCCCTCAGCGAAAGCCAACGCAAGTAAAACCAGGACGGTGCCGCCGGTGGAAGCTCGGCGGGGATGGGCGGAGGTACAGTGTGAGACTCCATCAGAGGTCAACACTGTCCAAGAATTTTCAAAGGTTGCCAGCTTTCGTCCGACCGTTTTCCCCTGTCGTTTCCATGAGTCGGGCAGTGGACAAGCCCTGCGCCGAGCTCGGTCCTCCAACTCACTGACGGTCAGGCTCTCAGACGGCCCAAAAGGCCCCTAAGGTCGTCCCAGGACCGCCCGCCTCAGACGCTCCCCAGAGGGTGCCAATGGAGCCCCTCGGGGCCTAAATACGGCCCTCGAAGCGCTCCCGAGGCGTCCCAAACGGCCCTCAGACGGACCAAGATATCCCACACAGCCCCCGACA